AAAGGAACCGCAAAAGGACTCACTTTTTTGCCGTTTTATTGCGTGGGGCCCCTTCTTTTTAAACCTGTCCCCCTAAGTTACTGAACCCCCTTTCACGTCTCTATCCCCCAAAAATAAATGTCGCCCCTTTTTAAATCTGTCCTGGAGCAAAAATTTCTCCTAAAAAGTGAACTTCGTATATGGAATTCTTTCCGCCCCTTTGCCCAAACGTAAGTGCGATAAATGGAACAACCTCCAACCGGGAGAATGTAGGCCTAGCCTAGAAACCGGGCTAACACAGTAACAGAAAAGATGTCAGCAAAGTTTCTGAAATCAGAATCTGAATCATACATTCAGCAAGGCCTCCATCAGGAACATCACACCAACTTGGGGTTTAGTTTTGGGCGTGGAGCTAGCTTATTTACAACCACTGAACAGTTTTAAAAGTTCAGCTCTAAAAGTTGCATGTGATGTTTTACCAGATTCAACAATATAAGATGGGTGACTATTCCAATCCTTGACTGTCCGTGGAAAGAAGATGTTGCTGAAGGCACTCGTTCAATTATAAATTGGGCTAGTCAGTCATGTCAGTTGATTTAATTTATACTACTTTACTAGTGTCCCCGAGATGATCGTGTGAAATACTTACACAATGTGCAATCTTTATCATTCCTCCACTGTATACCTTGTACAGTTCTGATGCATATTTTCCACATTCTATACAAACGTAGCTGGTACTTTCCATGTTTGATTCGTGAGATTTCCCTTCGGCATACAACTTACAAGTCTCCAATGGGGGCTGACATCTTGAATTTCTCTCACGCACTTTTCATCGTTGATGGCGCTGTAATTTAATAGCGGTCCAAGGGCCGGTGCAAAAATAGTCTGTACATAGCTTGCTCCTTGAAACCGTGACTAGTTTTTACCTTGGCTAGCGCGGGACCAGACCAACAAAACTACAAAAAAACTGGAGAAAGCTGCCGTGGCGTGTGGCGCAGGATATGAACTCAAGGCCTCGAATTTTGCTATAATATGCGGTATATTTGGTCTGAGCGAACTTTTGTGAATTCTTTAGATTACAGGCACTGACGGAGTCTCTCTCTAGAGGTGAGTTTCATTTGGAATGGATTCATTTTGCTTTCGAATTTGTCAAACAATAATGACTTGTCATGTTTCTCCAAATTAGTGTAGCAATAGCATTTAGGCCTAGCATGTTTAGGCTAGGCCTACCGTACATGTCAGATTACAGGTACTGAGGAAACTGCAGCGTACAGGTTAACATTAACCAACTTGCAGGGGTGTGAGAATTAAGCTTTTTAGCTGATTTCAGCTTTTTTTGTGTAGATGTTTACCCTGAATTTCAGCTTTTTCGTACACCTGGTCTGTGCAAAAGTAGGCCCTATGGGAACTTTTTACATTTCAGCCTTTTGCTAGCTGTTTTCAGCTTTAATTTTAAGTGGCCACTCACACCCCTACAACTTGGTTGGAGACTACATATATGTTTACATGATTGTCAGCTTATGTCAACTCAGCCCAAAGTCAAGTCAGTCTGATTCTTTCCAGCCTTTTGATATCCATGGACCGACATGTAAATGGGCTACTGTGCACGCGTTGTGCACATGGAATCGTTTTTGCGAAGAACATCAAAAATTTGTTGGCCTGACTCCCCATAGACATGATGCAGTCAAGTTGAATTCTGGCCCCAGAGACAACACTATTTTCCTCAATTTTTGCATGAATGGATAAAGTTTGAGTTTCCCGAACTCCTCATGGAAGGTTTCAGGAAAAAACGTGAAGTTTTCTGGAAGTTTTGATCTGAAAAAAACCTAGGCATTATTCCAAGTGGCCTTTCAGAGGCTTTCAGTACATCTACAAGAAACTACATATAGGTATCATTTTTGAAAAGGTCAGAAACACCTCAGAAAGATTAAGGTTCAGATGGTGAGTGTGAGCGCATTGGACTGCCGAGCGATGAAATGCACAGTGATTTTTGTATGGCCACCACCTGGCATGCGTGCATTCGGGGGGGTCATTCAATATGGCATCTGCGCGCGTTAGTCTCACACGTGCTGCCGTACACTGGTGGATACGGACTGCCTTTTGTGATTTTGTCCATGCTGTCATGAGTTCATGTTTATCATGCAGTGCTCTTTTTTTTTTTACTTTTTTTTTAAAGAGAAATAACAAGCGTTATTATATTTGGTCTCTCTTCTAACATTTCTCTACAATTTTTTTCAGCTACATGTACTTGTGAACTGCAAATTATACAAATTAATTTGGTGGGGTTGGGTTAATTTTCTTCATGTAAGCCGAACCTTTGCACTGTTTTTTTTAATTTCGAAGTTTGAAAAATTATAGACATTGTTTTTATGTTGAAAGCATTATAGCTTTACACTGATTTTTTTTATGGGGGAGGGGGCAGCAGAGCTAGGGCACTTACCTGTGCAGAAAGTTTTGCAGAAGTTTTATTGAGCTCAAAGAAAAATTTGATTTTTCTTGCTTACAAGTAGTTCAGAATTTTGTGTTGACTGGTGCAATACATGTAGTTAATTTAAATACCCTTTTCCCCCGTTGTTCATTCTGTTAAACTCACACTTTCTGACTTTACTACACTTCACATCATGCACTTCAATCAGCAAACAGACACATACCAGTTTTACACACAATTATGCATTGAAAAATCTGACTGTCGCTGAATATTCTGCTCCAGTTTTAACTTCATTTTCAATCATCAGAGCAAATCACAATGACTTTATGGAGAGATCACTTTTCTAAGGGAGGCAACCATACTTTGTTACAAGAAAGAAAAGAAACTAAGCTCTGCAGCACCTGGCAATCAAGACATACCGGTACATCGATTTGAATTTGTTGACCAAGTATTTTACAGTGTCAACATTTTTGTGAACAAAATAAATTGAAAATGACTACTCATTGGAACAAAGCATTTGGTTACTTTTTGGACGAAATAATATGGATATTTTCTTGTCATGCACAACACAGATTTTATAAATTTAAGTGAATCTTTTATTTATAATCGAACTGAAGTTTAGACCAGTTGCCATGGCAATGATATGGTACCAACAAACAAATGTGTCAACTTTGACATCATTGTTACAACTGTGGATGTCTTCCCTTGGATACCCATCAAAGAAAGAAGAGAGGAAATGAAGTACAAAGTTGGAGAGCTACATGTATTAGCACCTTAAAATGTTTACATATTTGTTTACATGAAGAAACAAGACTTCCTGGTACCACAATTAACCAAAATTGCCATAAGGAAATTAAACCAAAAAAGGGTTTTTTCACAAAATACAAATGAGTGTATCTCTGCAACTCCTTGACCAATTTTGTTAAATATTTTGGTGCCAAATGACCCAGAATTACATGACTGGTAAGACTGACTCACAATAAAAATGAATATACATACATGTATCAAAGTTGAAAATTCCTGTTTCTCTCCCTAAATTTTTGGTCTAACAAGCATTTTTCTAAGACTTGACTGTGGATCAAAATTCTTTTTTAAAACTCGATTGAACCCCTTAAATGTGATGCACAGTCAAGTCGTAGAAAAATGTTAGACCAAAAAGAATTCAATATACGGATGCCACTTGACACCCTGTGCACAAACCCTATAACTGAAACTGGTCTGAAAAGCTCTACTGTGTTTTCTCTGTGAATACCTCAATATTTTCACTAATGAATTGGACTTTTTAGGATATTTTATTGCTTTCAGATGATTGATACTTAAAGGTTACTGCAGGGAAAAATTAGTGGCTTCATAGACCTGTATGGAATTCTTTCCCTAATGCCAAGTTTGACATCAAAATGGCACAGTGGTCTGGATTCAACTTGACCTCTGAACATGGTTGTGTGTCCCATCTACATGTACGTGTGGATCCATCCATATCCATTACTAATCTACTTCAAATGACTTACAGTAAGTACCAGCATGGCAACTCAACATGCACAGTGAATGTCTTGGGAGCTTTGAAGTATTACCATGAGAAATCTTTGTCTGTTTTTTATGTAAACAATGTCATTAATGGTAGAAGCTCATATTCACAAGATGGAATTCCAGCCTACTTGCACATGTACATGTATTGCAATTTGGTTTTCATCCCTCGATAAAAAAAGTACGTGTAGTTCAGAGACACCTGTATATCAGAAAAGAAAAATTAAATATGTGTACATGTAGAAATGTACCTGTACCGGTAAGATTGAATTTCAAACAGTACAGGTTGGTGTTGTAATTTTTGGATGGGGATAATTTGCCAACTGCCAGGATTTGTTCCCAATCTCAATGTTGGGGTTACAAGAGTTTACCAATTATGCTACGTACTCATTCTGAAGAGTGGATTTAGGACGGTATGTACATGTACACACACGTATAAAAAATATGTATAGTGTAAATTGCAAAGAAAAAAATGACCAATGGTTGTACCAGGAGGCTGTAAAATGTACCACAGAGCATTTAGGCCTACATTTCAAAATTTACGACCCCACAATATATTTGCTTTGCACTCTCAATTTCAGCTATTTTTTATGTTCCACTCACAACCCTGGTCATGCCATATTTTGTCGCATAAGTCGTGGACTTACACAATGTGTAATTTTTGTGAAGTCAGTCTGAAGTTGTACAATTTACACAATGAAATGTGGCGTAAGTGGAGTTACGCCATTGGGTAAAGTTTCATGAAATCGGCTGCAGGACTCATGCAGTACACCACATGTAATATTACGTGTACATGTATTCTGCACTCTTTTACTGCAGATTTACAGGTACATACATGTATGCCATAAAGTTTCATCCTAGTAGTAGTAATTTATGTTGATTTGTGTCTCTATGAGCTGTCATTTCATATCTAGGAATTTGTTGTGGAGGAGATTTCACTGCCTTTGACATATACAGTACGTACATGTACATATACATTTACCCGTAATGTTTAGCCATAATGTGATAATTCCACAGTAGTTTTAGCCCTGTCCCTATGCATAGCACCCTGTGTTGCCTGGGGTGTTTTAGCCCTGTCCCTGTGCATAGCACCCTGTGTTGCCTGGGGTGTTTTAGCCCTGTCCCTGAGCATAGCACCCTGTGTTGTCTGGGGTGTTTTAGCCCTGTCCCTATGCATAGCACCCTGTGTTGCCTGGGGTGTTTTAGCCCAGTTTCTATGCATAGCACCCTGTGTTTTGCCTGGGATGTTTTAGCGCTGTCCCTATTCATAGCACCCTGTGTTGCCTGGGGTGTGTTAGCCCCGTCCCTATTCATAGCACCGTGTGTTGCCTGGGGTGTTTTAGCCCTGTCCCTATGCATAGCACCCTGTGTTGCCTGGGGTGTTTTAGCCCTGTCCCTGTGCAAAGCACCCTGTGTTGCCTGGGGTGTTTTAGCCCTGTCCCTATGCATAGCACCCTGTGTTTTGCCTTGGGTGCCATGCAAAATTCCCAACAGTCAGCAATTCAGGTGTCAAAGAAACACCAGTACATTTTAACTTTTAAAAAAATTGATAACATGTAATTCTTGTATGTGTAATTTATTTTTTTTTTTACAATTTCTTTATTTTTAAAAGTTTTTAAAAGTTTCACCTGTACTCTGAATCTGTATTTTTCAGGAAGGCTACATGTATGTACACTGTACATGTTCAAGTCAAGTGGCTTGTGCATTGAGTACACGTGCATGGACATTAAATGTGCTTTTCATTGGATGAAATTCACAACTTCCACTGTAAGGTTTGCTAATCTTAACTGTTTCCTCCCACCTGTCTAAGTGGTATGGTACCGGTACTTTTGAAAATACACACGTTTAAAGTAGTAATGAGTTCATGTTAACCTTTGCTCCATCGTCCTGCTTATACATG